GCAAGATCAGATATGTCATGCAGACTTCATTCTTCTTCGGCTACATGACCTGTATCTGCTATGGATTTTTCCTCATGCTAGGCGCGGTTGGATTCAATGTGATCATCATGGAAGTGTGACGACAATGTGATCATCATCAAATATTCATGGTAGAGAAGCTAAGATTATGATTCGTGTTTCTTAATTCACAACACTCAGGTTGATATTACTGCTTGTGGGACAGAGATGCAGCATTGGCTCGCTTCCTCGAAGCGAATGAGATGAGATAGAGGAAGCGAATGGCTCGAGAGAATATATAAATATAAGATATTATTATTTACAATAGAGGAAGCGAATGGCTCGAGAGAATATATAAATATAAGATATTATTATTTACAATATCATTTAAAAAATTTTAAACTATCCCTCCTCTTCCTCGAAGGATCGCATCAAGGAGTGGATCCTCCTTCCCCTCCTCTTCCTCCTTTTCTTCTTCTTCCTCGATGAATCACATCAAGGAGGGGATGAGCAAGGTCGTACAACATGGAGTGACGATGATGGCAAGCAACATCCACGACAATGACTAATAAGGGATTGTGAAGAAAGAAAAAAGAGATAAAATTGATAATATTAGAATTGTAAATAATAAAATAATATATTTTTTTATTAGTTTTAGGAATTATCCATAACAAGTGATTGTTAATGGTTATAAAGAGATTATGAATAGTATATATATATATATATATATATATATATATATATATATATATATATATATATATATATATATATATTCACAACATTTAAGTTGATCATTACAAACCATGACCGAGTATAATTTACTTGAGCTAACAAAATATAAACTTACAGTATCTAAAATTTTGCTAACAATCAATACACATCACACAATCCTATTCAGAGAATATTTTTAAATGGATAAAAATTTCGATGCCTCTAATTGCAATAGATTGATAGAGATTAACTAATTTTTTACATTTTTGTAAGGATATGTAAGTAAACATATAAAAACTCAAATTAAAGGAATAAACAAAAGGAAAACACTTACTTTGAAGATACATCTCCATATCTCCTGCTTTTGCAAAATATGCTTCTCCAATTCCTGCTATCTATATCTTCTATTTTTTAGACAATTGAGAGCAATTTAAAGAGAAGCAAAACCATCATTAACATTTACTGAGTCACAATCCATTTCCCATAAATGTGAATAATAACCAAATGATACTGACAAAGAACAAGTGGCTCTCTTATGCCACAAGAACAGTTTGGTGAAGAGAAGAATTGTCCTGCTACCATTTGTATAGAAATAGATATAGAAGATGGTGATCCAATATTTCATACTGTCTGAATTTGAAAAAATTATGGGCATAAAAGTTCCCATATACAATTGTGTGTGTCTATGATACAGGCAGTAAGAACAAGTCATGCATGATTGATTAAGCAAGAAAAATTAGGCACTCCAAGACACAGAAACATTTGCTACAGGAAGAACCAACACACAATGAATGAAAAAATTATTTGTTAAATGCACGTGTAATTAGCGACTAAAAATTATATTAAAAAGAAGAAAAAAAAACATCGAATGAAGTTTGCGAAGCTTATAACTGTTGAAGTCTTGGTATTGTAACAGACATAAAATACTAAAATTGGGCCTAAATTATGTAAAATGCTTTCACTGTGCCAGATATTATAAAAAAAGGTGAACTTGAACATATTATGATAGCACATACTAGTCCCATTTGGTCCCCTTGCTTCCTTCTCTCAATGTTAGTGTTGATACAGCAGAGTGCTTTCACCGTTGTTGTTCTATTTGCATTCTACGCATGCCACCAATCCACCAAAAATTCCCTTTGCTCCACTGCAATCTTGATGACGCCCTAAGTTCAGTGTTGCGTAAGGGAAAGAACACTTTATCATTCTCATGAATGCTAGAAAGTCAAGAGAAAGGATAAACTAGTTTGCATAAGTGACAGAAATGCATCAACATTAGCAAATCCAGCAACAAAATGAAATTGGATGACCATAATTCCCTATGCTTGCTAATACCTGTACAGAAAATTCTCCTTTTTTTTATCTGCATAAAGGACAACACAACATGTAAAGTAATATGCTAAATTAATTAAACAAAGATCTGCATGAACAAAGACTATTCATAATATAAGTGCAACGCTTAAGACTTGCAATTGCTCCAGCATATGTGTCTTTAATTCCATAACTATCAATGTGTATCCATTCCATATGCCTTGCCACTATTGATATCACCAATTTTATGTCTCGACATTGACTCCTCTCCATAGCCAAGGCCCGGAAGCTTGGAGAGAGAGGAGGAAAACAAAGAAAAACATAAAGATTAAATCTTCTACATCTTTAGACTAGTCATTAAATGAGAAATGACCATGGCTATGATATCACCACTATACCTCTTAACCACACATCAAAACAAATGACACAAGCACTCCAACCTGATCAAAGCAGAGAAAGAAAAATCTATAAAAAAAAAACAATACAAGATGCCATTTGGTAATAGAGTTCTTCTACTAACACATTATGGTGGCATCCCCTGAAGAATTGAATTTTTTGTGGAGAAAACTTAATTAATGGAACACATGGATTACATTGCACAAATTATCACATAGGAACCATGCATGAGTATAACAGCTCTTTTTTAATTGAATATGATAAAGCTCTCATTTAAGCATAAATTGAGGAAATCATTATGAATGTGTCCCGCATTTCGTATGCACAGCTCTTAACCTTCTTTTCTTGGAACTGGGATAAACAGTGAATCAAATCAATCAAAAAATGTAAATTTCTCTAGTTGGAAGTAAATCCAACATTCCAACTTATATAAAAAAAACATTTGTTAAGATGGCCTATATTGTCACACAACTTATGCAATTAAAGAAAAATAGAAATGACCAGCATTAAGCAATATAAAACAAGAGTATAGAAAGAAATGTCACTTGTATGCGTGCTCATTCTATTTACAAATTATTGCTTAGAATCAACAAGCAACCTGTAAAAACATGTTTTACAATAACAACGGTAGAATAGAACTAATAACAATTTTTGAAGAACCAAAGCATCTTAATTAAAAAAAAACATTGATGTTAATACGAAAGAAGCAGAAAAAAAAAAGCAGGAATCCAATTGCAATTTTAAGAACATGAAGGCATACCTATCAAAGGGATCAATACAACATACTCGGATAAACCCAAAGGGGCGAAGGCCACTTCGAAACACATTGGTTGTCAAAATACAGAGGAGATTCTGGATCAGTAGTATCAATAGACGTGTCGTCCAATGAGAACACATGCCAACGACCACGTCCATGTCCGGCATAATAGATGCAATTGCTCCGTCCTCCCCATCTGCCTGGGCAAGGACACGATGCCGGGCATCTGCCTGACTCCTCAATGAACAATGCCCAATCTCCCAAACCATCCACCTTCACCCATGTTGGCTGTCCCGACAAGTCCAAGCGGTAAACTTCGAACTTCAGATGCATAATTTGCTCTGCAGGGATGACCTGCACCAGCATGAGCTCGCCACCACACTCAACCAGCTGCTGAGTGAAGCCAATATTCATGCCCGAGTAAATGCTTCGCCCAGCCCACTCAACTGCCATCTGTTTGATGCTAAAATAAGGCGAGAACTGGAGAACGCGAAGCCTTTCGGCACTGTCCAACGCAAAAACGTGGTCTTTGAAAGCCACTACACGTTCCATGTGAACATCAAGCGGTGTGAATGAGCATTCTTCCCATTTACTGTCTCCAATCCGCCACCGCAGAAGGTTCCCGTTAGCACTCAAGAGGAGATTGGAGCCGGGAGAGGACAGAGAACCAGTTAGGGCTCCGTAGTGGAAACGCCAGCCATCGCTGGGGAGGTCCGGCGAACGGAGCTCGTCGCCAGTGAAGATGTCAGCGAGGATGGCACGACGGCCCTTGCAGAAGATGAGGTGGCCATAGGAACAGCCAAGGAGGAAAAGGTTGAGGGTCCCGGAGGAAACCACGGAACGGGAGGGCGCGAAGGGTGCGGCTGGGCAGAGGAGGTCGCAACGGCGGGGGGAAATCTGGTGGCAGCGGCGGGACCGGCGGTGGAAGGGGCCAACGAACAGGCGGAAGAGGAGAGGGGGACAGCTACCGGTGGCCGAGGACAGGGAGGGGCGGGAGACGGCGCGCCAGGTGCGACAGACGGAGGCGACGGCGAAGCGGTCGCGGAGGGAGGGGAGGCGGTCGAGGACGGAAAGAAGAAGCGGGTCGAGAAGGTCAGCCCATTTTCCGGCAGAGGCGGAGGGCGAGCGGCACCGCCGCTTATTTCTATCGCTGCGAGATCTATCCCTCATCGTCGTCAATTCCGAGAGGCGTCGAAGCGGCCAATTCCAACGGGTTTAATAGTGTTTTTTCTGGCAACAGAAAAATGTTTTTTTAATCTTTTATTCAGTGAAAACACTTCTAATGTTGGCAAAATTTCAATTTCCCCCCTAATAAGTTCAAAAAATAAATTAGCTCGCTTTGCATCTGTTTGCGCTTTTTACATTTTAGCCATTGTCTTGTTTTATATATTGATTTGGTTCTCTCTTCGCAATGTTTTTTATATTTAAGCCCTTGTTTTGTTTTGTGATTACTTAGAGAAGAAATCGTGTCTTTTAAGTTACTCATCGATCGCGTCCACCTCCGTCACTCACGAAGGGCCCCACAGTGATTTCGTCTGAGTCGAGAACCGGTGCAAAACTGGTGGTGTCGTTTGGACGTCACTATATTTTCCTTGTTCGTTTCTCGAAACAGCGGTGGCATTTCTACCTGCCCGCGTATCCCCATGTCGTTACCAGCGCTGTGATTGGAAATATGGAGGTTCCGGAATGAGGGATAGGCGGGACCCACTGACTGCACATGTTGGGTACGTTGGGGGGTACGCGAATTCCCCGTCACGTCGATCCTGGTTTCATGGTTGCCTCAGACTCTGATCTCTTTTAACGAATTCTTGTTCTCTTGCTACATTCATGGCTACGCCAAGGCGTTGGAGGCGACGCCCATCTGCTCTGCCTATTCCTCCCTCCCAATGCACTCCAATCCCCGCTTTCCATCCTTAAATTCGACTCCTATGTTCCTTAATCCGAAACTAATCGAAAGATTTCGGGATCTATTCACGTCCGTGGCAAAAGTTTCGGTTCTTTTGGGTTGATTACATCCCGACGCTTGAAGAGATCCGCAAAGTTGGTGCATTTTTCCTGTTCTTGCGAAGAACTAATCGGAATCCACCGGATCGGCGCTGAAAGGAGGGATTTTTGGGAGCACCAAGCGGGAATTAGAGAGATTGAAGTGGAGGGTGCCGTTTGTTTTGGTATTGGTGTTGCCTGTTCGTGGGTTTGTTCGATGCTCGGATCGAAATGGGCGTGGATTACTACAACATATTGAAGGTGAATCGCAATGCCACCGATGATGACCTCAGGAAGTCGTACCGGCGGCTGGCAATGCGGTGGCACCCTGACAAGAACCCTAGCAATAAGAAGGAGGCGGAGGCCAAATTCAAGCAGATGTCCGAGGCCTACGAGGCAAGTCTCTTTAGTTAGCTCTGACATGATGAGGATATCTTTTAGAAGAACGATGTATTTTTTATTGGTCTTTTGAATGTCTCATTTGCTTTCCATGTTAGAATTTATTATCCTTGAATCAAATTTCTGAAACTGGATATTGTATAGAAAATTTGATTTATTACTGAGAACGGTTTTAGATTGTGCTGAATTCTTTCTTCATGGCCCTTTTTGTGAATTATATGTTCACTGATAACAGATTATTTTTGGCTGCATTAATTTCATGGCTAGGAAAGTAGAATTTCAATTAAACTTGCTTTATTCTTAATCATATAGTACCGTTACCTCAAATAACCTGATAGATAAATCTTGATTATCTCTTTGTTGCATTTTGTACATTCTCCTTTCTGGTTTGGTTTAAATGGTTTTTCTTCAAGGGTTCTGAATTCATTAAATCTGGGGGAAAGAAGTAAATATCAAATTACAAAGCAAAATAGGCAAATTGAAATGAAAGTAGTGAAGCAAAAGTTTTGATTACTCTTTCTCTTTGCTTCTTTTTTATCCCACGTGGAACTGAGTTTTGCAATCTTTGATGCTGTCTTTATTTTTCCAAGATGCATCTTTTACATATTTGAATACTTTAGTCAATAATATTTTCTGTTGGTTGAAGGAAGAAATAGGCCTTAGGCATTGAGATCATTTAGAGTGATAGAAATTGTGTCAAACTTTCTGATATTTCAACACTGTTGGTCCAGGTACTAAGTGATCCTCATAAACGGGCAATATATGATCAGCATGGTGAAGAGGGCTTGAAGGGCATGCCCCCTCCTGGTTCACAAAGTGCAGCATCTAATGGCTCGAGTGGTCCTAGTAACTTCCAGTTTAATCCTCGGGATGCTGAAGATATCTTTGCTGAAATTTTTGGGAGCAGCAGCCCTTTTGGTTTTGAGTCTATGAACCGTTCAAAGTCCGTGAGGTTCCAAAAAGATGGAAGTGGAACTTTTGGTGGCTTTGGTAGGACAGATAGCACCTACAGGTCATATGCTGAGGGAGCTGGTCCTAGTGGCAGCCAGACACGGAAAGCACCAGTTGTGGAGAACCATCTGGTGTGCAGCCTTGAAGATCTCTACATGGGATCAAAAAGAAAGATGAAGATATCTAGAAATGTCTCACGACCCAATGGGTATAAGCACTTCTTCTCAAATTATTAAATTGAATGTTTTTGTGGCTTATTGGATTCACATGTTGCTGACTTCCTTAGCACATTTGAGCCACTTAAGTATTTAGAGTGGACCAATGCATGCATAGGGTAAACTGCTTCATGAATTTATGATTGAACTGAACAAAGCATCATATTGCAATCTTTTTCCCTTTTCCATTTCTACTATACATGACTGTATCCCAGCTAGGAAACGGAACAATCTTTGTCTGTTTGCCTAGTATTTTTACAGTTTGCAGCTGAGTTCTGCACTGTTTTGCAGGTTTTTCAATCTATCATCTGAAGTTTGAAATGCTTTCTGGTTACTTTCTGATTCAAGAAGCTGGCAAAAATTTAGATAAGAAAGATAGCTGATTAGTATTTTCATTGTAAAGGACATTTTCTGTGCCTAAATGTGAAATATATAAATTGACTGATAAATAAACTAAATCCTAATGTAGAAAAACCACTTCTCTGCATCATTGGTCATGAACAATGATTTTCGAAGTCGCTTTGGTTCTTATCCAGCTGATGCCATTCAGCTGTTTAGTTACTTTTCTGGTTGTACTGATTTTATGTTGTGGATGTTATTAGTATAGCTTTCAGCAACGGTAATTGGTCATGGTTCTTATAGAGTCAAATGAAGTTTTTGTTCTGGGGTAAACAAAACTTCACCTGTTTCAAATTCTCTTGGTTGAAGAAGATTAGATGATGAATCTTGTAGTTTTAACATCAATTTATGAATTAATGCTTATTGAACCAATGAGTTTACTGCCCTTTGTCCATGCTTTATGTTGAGGCATCTGAGGTACATATTGATCATACAGGGTTAATTTTGAAATGGTTACTTATGAATTATTAGTATGGAGTTTTCTTGCAATGGTTTTAAATCAGTGGCTTAATAATAGGGAACTTTCCTTCTTTCTTATCTTTCTTTCTTATTCTCCCTTTTCAGAGTTATACAGATTAATTGCTAGCATCTGTCTTATTTTTGTTCTCCCCTTTATCTGTTGATGAATCACCTGATTTAAGTGTTATGTTCTTTGACTTGGATTATTTAATCGACTTTTTATGACTCCTGTGTGTTCATCAGTAAACCTCAATCAACATATATGGTGACTTTAGAGTTTAAACACCTTTTTTTGCTCCTAATTAGCTAGCATATTTGACAAATATTGTATAAAATATATATTGATCCCTTTAAGGCAATTTTTTAACTCCTAATTTTTGCATATGAATTCATTAACCATTGAATCACTTTTTCCATTTAAATCTATATATTTTGATATCTGGTACTTGAATGTCCATTTAGAATCAAATGACATCCTATGATCTAAATCTATATATTCTGATATCATAATAAAGAACAAATGACATCCTATGGATCACCAGTTGCATCCCTACTTGTGCATGCTAAATAAAGAAATATCATTTTTAACACATTCTTAACCCAACAAATATTTTATTATGCAACTATCTAGACTGCTTTCTAGTAATACTCTTGTGGACAATCTCAGTTACTTCGAACTTTTGCCAAAGGTTTTATATATCTTTCATCTTCTACAATTGGCATTCTTAGCAAAACATTTGAGTACCTGGGACTGCTGCCTTTGCAACCTTATATGCATAGCTTGTTGTGTCAATACATGTGTTTGTTTAATGTTCAGAATTTCTTAGTACATGATATCTTTCACCATGCTGTGTGGTGTTTCAAATAACCAATAGCTTTGTTATTTTATTCTTTTGACTAAAATCTGTCCTTAATGACCCATAAACTGTTTCCATTAGTTGTGATAGGCTTTCTAAACTTGTTAAAAATGATGACTGTCCCGAAAGATAATTTCATTACCTTTTCTGGGAGACTTTGAAGTTTCTCCTTGGATATGAAAGAGGGTGAAGCGTTGTTGACTTTAATATGTTTTATTAATTTGGACCAGTTAATCGTGTTAGGCATATAGAGTGAGGTTTCTTAGTTCCGTCTGATGTGCATGTAGATATATCTCCACGGTCAGAATCTGGATATGTTTTACTGTTTTCTTGTGTTTGGTCTCTAGTTGTTTACCTGTTCATGCTTAGTCTTATCTTGCTTGGAATACCAAACATCGTTTGGCTGTACCCTACCTTAGTCGCAGTTTTCATTTTCCATTGTTTTTTCTCCTTCCTATTACAAGTTGTCTTTTTGTCTCATGGCATTTATAATGGTGTTGAAGATATTTTTGATTGTTTTAATTTGTCATCAAGTAGATGTATATACTTCTGTCTGCTGAATTATAGCTTATAAACTTAAATATGATATGCTATATCTCCAGATAGTACCGTTTCTTGATACGAACAACTGTTTATAAAGATATTGTCACCATAGCCAATACTAATGTCATCTCAGAACATTTTATGTTGTTAGAAACCAAATTATGGAAAAACAACATATTGATACAGCACTTCTGGAGTTTGTTAAATTAGACGATAGAATTCTCTGACCGTGTTTCCATTTATTTGTCATGTTCAACAATTAGACGATTGGTGCCAGAAACAGAGATCTTAACAATTGAAATCAAGCCTGGATGGAAAAAAGGCACCAAGATAACTTTTCCTGGCAAAGGCAACGAGCAAGTGAACCAACTCCCAGCAGACCTTGTCTTTATCATTGATGAGAAGCCGCATGATGTGTACAAGAGAGATGGCAGTGATCTCATTGTTCACCAAGAGATCTCACTGGTCGATGCGCTCGCAGGGACCACAATAAACCTCACAACCCTCGACGGGCGTGATTTGGCAATCAATGTGAGTAATGTAGTGTACCCTGGCCATCAACTTATTATCACAGAGGAAGGGATGCCAATCGCGAAGGAGCCAGGGAAGAAGGGCAACTTAATTATCAAGTTTGATGTGAAGTTCCCATCTAGGTTGACGCCGCAGCAACAGGCAGATATCAGACGTGTTCTGGGAGCTTGATCACGAAAAATACAAGATGTTTTCTTTGCAGAAAAGGCTTTCATCGCCAATCTCCAAACAATCTACCAAATTCTTGGTTCTTTTTTGTTTATGGAAGTTGAACTTATGTTCTTCGTTAGGTTATCAATCTCTGTTATCTTTGTAACCCCAAGTTAAGGCAACAGTAGATGTTGTTGGTAAAAGCTTATCCTATGTTGATGTTTTTGACTGCATTACAAGAACTGTATCGGTTTTAACCTTCTGCTTCACTGTTGGTTTCATGATTGATCATGCAGCATGAATAAGTATCGTGCTGTGTACATTATGGCAATCACAGTAGCAATGTCCAACAGTGGATTTTGCATATCGGATGCTTGGATCCAGGAAACCATATTGATTTTGAACTCTCCTGTCATGGCAAATATCCTTGGCTCTTTTTCTGAAAGAGTAAAACAGGTTTCGTGAGAAGTTAATGGTCATGTGGAATCAAGCTGCCAAAAGTATCATTTTTCAAAGGAATGTTTATGATCATTTTTTAGGGATTTGGCTGTTCAATATTTCTAGTTGAAGGAATGGTGAGATGGATACAGAAAATGTAACATGTAGTAGTTTTACTGTCCCTGACAGACAAATTAAGCATATCAATTCTATGAAACTATATTGGAATATGGTCAAAACCCCATATACACCTTGTTCCTGTTGACAGACTTCTGCTAATTGATGGATGAGTAACTTCACATTGCAATTGATAAAAGATATTTAGTCTATATTGGTTAAAACGTAAGGAATTAAGGGTTTATAAATCCGTCAGGTCACCGTTCGTATCAATGACAACAAAATATGATTTATCATATTGGCGCTAAAAGGAATGTCTCGAACAATTAGCTCCCCTATAGGAGGGATCACTGATAAGAACATTTAGTCCTACATTGATCTAGAAATAGAGGAATCAATGACTCATAAGTCTACGGAGCAATCCTTATTTTTAGATATGCCTTTTGGAGCTCATGCCATATCTTCTAAGTGAACTATTTTTTATGAGCTTATCGTACCAATAACGATAAAACGTGACTTATCAACGGCGATTGCAGTAGTAATTTACAGTAATCGAGAATTGGATTAATTACTGAAGTCATTCAAGTCGTTTTAAATCTGATTTCGGTATCTATTTGTCTATATATCTTATCGTTTCAAACCTGATTAATGGATGGATACATTAATTATACTGCTTAAGCGGGTCGGATTGGTGTGGTTCCCCAAAAAGACCGATCCGTTAGACCGCACCTTAGACGGTATTGGGCCTGGACTGATGTATCAACCGGTCCACTTCGCTTAGCTTAACCGATGACTCCGTTAGCTTAGCCCAATTCCTGTCTTGTGATTGGTGACAATCCACGGGGCCCACAGGGCCCAAAGGTAGCCCACTTTGTTCACCAATCAAAGGAAGGCACGTTGGTTCCATTAAATAGAGATAAGTATAGGTATTTTATGCTGCTTTAACGTAAGACGAATCCCTCTGGCTCGACGGTCTCTCGGCCGCCGCTCGTTTCGCGACCATCTCCATCGGCGGCGACGAACGCCGGGCGGTCATTCGCGGCGGTTCTTCTCCAGCCTCCAGGTTCTCTTTTTATCCCTTGTGTCTGTTGTTGGTAAGCGTGTTGAGGTTAGGGTTTCCGTCCGACTCCGTCATATTCCTGTGGATCTTTTTCTTTAATTTGGTGGATTTTCGATCCTCTTTAAAGGTTTTGCTTGCTTATTTGACTACTGGGATCTTGGATATTGGCCTGATGGCTGATGAAATTAATAGTTATACGTGTTTGAGATCATTATCAGCGTTACAGACCGCAGTAAGAGGAAGATCATGGTTTCTGTTAAATAGTTGATCTTGTTTGACCGACAGTGTCATGTAAATGCTGCTTGATATACAACAGTGATTTTTCCTAAGCATTCTTGTGCAAGATCAAGGTGTGTGATTGTATGCTACATTTGATTAATTGTTTTGTTTCTGTTGTTTACTAGTAGAGCAGCGGTGACATGTTAACAGAATTGCAACGAAATTAGAGTTTGGGTTGAGGGTCAAGGCATGAGCAAGTAGCCTGTCACTTGTGTTCAGTCTGTGTTTCTATACAACCCAACCTGGTGCAACCCGCCTGAGCTGCATCCCCATGCCAAAAGGGGATTAAGCATCAATTTTCTGAAAGTTAAGCTTGTTTGCTTAGTAACAACAACAAAACCATAAGACCCAACTATTTGGGGTCGGCTGCGTGGATTTTTTGCTGCTATTGAGATATGTAAGAAGCCATAAAACTTGTTTGCTTGTGTCACAGAATAGTAATAAGTCAAGCTCCATATGCTGCTGAGATTAACCAAAATTGTGCCGTGGTCAATCATGGGTCTGGTACCAGTGAGACCTTGGGGGGTTAATGTTTGCTTTCAGCCTGTATGGTATAAGTCATATTTACCACATGTGTGATCATGTTTTAGGACTTTTCTGACCACATACGTGCAATAACTTATTAATTCTATGTAGAATACAACCATATAGCCTTGTGTGAAGCAATCATATGACGTTGTATGGATATGAAGTTACATATATGACTCCACAGGTCACGTTTTGGAGTATTGATTCTCCCTATTCTGGTGTAAGCTTCTTTTGATCCTAAATGGAATTGTACCTAATTCTGTTGGAGTCTTTGGTGGACTTGGGAAGTGATGCTAGTACTGGTGGTGGATGGCGATGACAAATTTATTTTCTTTTAGTACCCTTCTTTTTTTCTTTCTCTATTTCTTTTCCTAGCAGGTCATTAATATCATTTAGCCCTGTGTTTTTATGTATGATATGCATCTTTGAACCCTTCAAATGAAGTCAATTTGTTTCTCCTGCTTACTGGCAGATCTAACTGAGTGGTTTTTTCGATCTCTTTACCTTCTCTTAGCTTTTTGATTGTCTATTTATACATTTTCTTTTTTCGTTTATATTCTTCTCTCTTTTATTTTCTCCTTGTTGTCAAACACAGAGAGCACATTATAGGAAATAAGTTCAGTAGACTTTAATGATAGAAAGGGGCTGTTTGTACTGGAATATTTTTTCAATTTGCTTCTTAAAACTTAGAGAAATGAATTGTAAATCATTGCAAGGGAGGTTGGTAATGCAAACTGTATTTAGTTGCTTATTAGAACATAAGAAATGAAAAATTTTGCTTGCATGCATTTTTATATCAAGGTTCTTGTGTATGTTTATTTTTTATTTTTCAGTCATGTGATGATGTAATTCTGCTGCTTATCACTTCTCTGGTGATCTTTCTCTTTAGATTCTTATCTTGCTCCAGTTGAAGTACCTAGTTGGTCACATGCTAATGCAATTTTGTTACTTAATACTTCTGTAGTGTAAATATTATTGTGGATAATTATCTTGCTCTAGCTGATGTATATAAAGCTACTAATGAGAGGGTGGATGCTTATTATATGACATAGTGTTTTCACTTTTTTATTGTTCATCTTTTTGAAGAGGAATAGGTGGAATATTTGATGAATTAAAGAAATTTACTTGCTAATAATATTATTGTTATCATAAATGTTCTCTTTGACATTTTTTGGAGGGGTAGCTAAGGTTAATATGATGTAAACTTCTTGTCTTAAAACAGATTTGTGTTTGTGGTGCTTGCTGAGACCAGTCTTTGAGAATCATGGTTGAGCTTCTTTTCGAGGACATCTTCACTTTGACGAGACTGGATCCAGATGGTAAAAAGTTTGATAAAGGTATGATACATTCTTTCACCATTGTCATATGTATTGAAATACTTTTTCAAACTTGATAGAACCAGTGTTGCAGTGTTCTTTAAAGTCATAACAGAGAAGTTCATGCGTCTGGATTCTTGTCAAATGCTATGATGTGTTGATCTGTTTAGCCAAAACTTAAGCGTATTATCACAAAACTTAATATGAGATTGGACATAGTGGTGCCAGGGTATGGCCTGGTATGCATAGTTTGTAGATTTCCATACTGACATCTGGGCTGTACTATGTAGGTGTTCTTTGCTATAGTTTGTTTGTTCAGTTTTCCATGCATTTGGTGTTGCCTAAGAATAGAATAGATCTAGGAAGAAAAGGCTCCAACTAGTTCTTATTTTCAACTAACTCCTTGATTCATTTTTTTGTCTTGTATTTAACTTAATCACTTTACATTGAGATATATTCAATTTGTTATATGATAGTTATCTCCAGTTTGTTGATCCGATATTTTTATTTAATGCTTCTATAGTTTCTTTTCATTGGCATTCTAATTCAAGTTGAGGCTAATTTTTCTTTTTTTTATCTAGTTTCTCGGATTGAAGCACGCAGTGAACAGTTCGATATGTATATGCAGCTAGATGTAAACACTGAAATTTATCCACTTAATGTTGGGGATAAATTCACCATGGTTTTGACTCCAACTCTCAGTCTGGATGGAACCCCTGATTCGGGCTACTTTACGCAGGTATAAGGTTGTTCTGTTATTTGTGTTCATTTGGTTGGTTGAACATTGAAATATTAGAAAAGTGCATCTAGATATTTGATTATCATCTGTAGCCATCCTGAGAAACTTCCTTGCACCTAATTTATCATGTATCTACAATTTATTTGCACGTGCTAAGTTGGAATCTGGTTGAAGAAACATCTTCGGTTGAAGCTGAACATTTTTGATAGAGTTGGATTATCCTTCCCATCATTTCACTTTAGATTCTTAGCAACAAGTATTCGTCCTCAGGCTGGAAGAAAGTCTCTTGCAGACAAGTTTGAGTATGTTATGCATGGGAAGCTGTATAAGATTTCAGAAGAGGCTTCTGGAGGACCTAATGTTAAAGTGTATGTTTCTTTCTCAGATCATTCCATCTTTTTCCCCATTCTCATAGATTGAAGAAAAATTCTAGTTATCAAGGTTGCATATCTTTTTGTTATATTTGTTTTCTACAACAATATATTTGTTTTCTATAACAATTCTGGTGGTAAGTATGAAAATTAAAAGCACTAGTGTTTTAAGTGCTTTAAGGTCTTAACATTGGTAATTTGGTGAAAAATGTGACAGAAGTTGTTTCCTTTATTGTTTCTTTTTTTTGTGTTAATGTCATGGCATTTCACGCATCAATTATTGCGTAATATGCCATGCAAAATCTTTGATAAAATTTGGCAAATCTTCCAGGGTTATGCAGTTGGAGACTTTATTACATGAGAATTCTGTCTAAGCATTTATAGACATAGGATATTCATCTCACAAATCTTTTGAAGTGTGGATTGTTTTCTTTGGAATTTGGCTTTAAATTTTACTCTTGGACTAACTTCATATTCTTCTTGGTACTAATAGTTCAGAAGATAATCTCTCTCTCTCTCTCTCTCTCTCTCTCTCTCTCTCACACACACACACACACACACACACACACACACATCTTCTTCCCTGGTTCATGCTTATTTGAATTATTTTTGTTAACTTTATGCTCATGGAGTTTATTAGAACATTGTCATGGGTAGGTGAACCTGATTCACCAAGCAGATTATTTTGTTAATTGAATTCAACTGATGGTGATCTTCTTAAAGCTGCCAATGGATTTTTTTAGTACTCTCATGTTCTTGGCAATGAGCATCTTAATTCCACTGGTAGATATGCTGAATCAAGATGTTGCCTTTTCTTCTTGTTATGGAATAGCTACAAGTATTGAAATGGTTGAAATGAATGTATATTATGGCAGGAGGCAGTATTAAGTTTGAGAACTGGTTTGAATTTTTGATTGATGGTTCTGTGTATGGTGGTTCTCATATTATTTTCCTGTTCTTCTTCATGCAGTGAAATATATGCTTCTTTTGGTGGACTGTTGATGATGCTCAAGGGGGATCCCTCCAATGCAGCTCAGTTCGAGTTGGACCAGAGGCTGTTTCTTCTTATGAGGAAAGTGTAAATCTTACCTCAAATTGCTCTTGTATTAAGGATGAACACCTTTAGATTTGGAGAACTCGAAAACTTTAGGAGACAAAGGGACTTAACCTATCGACTTCCGAACACTTGAATGATGCGAGCTTTGTTTGCTGTGTTGCCTCTTATATGGACTTGTTATGAATGTAGATCTTTTGGAAAGCTGGTTCCTTCTGTGTTCTTTGCCTCTTATAAGGGTTGCGACATTGAACCGACAACAGCCTATCGAGTTTTTTGATCGTAATTGGTATAGTTAAAGTTTTTACCAGCCTAAGCTACTTGGCATACAATATGCAGGTGCCCGAGGTGGATTGAGCTGAGATATTGGTTATCCGATGGGATTTTCTTCCGAGGCATTCAAGGTAACGAATACTCTAAAGCTAATGAAACCCTAGAAAAAGAAAGAAAAATTTTTTATCTAGAGACAAGGTTTCTTTTTATTTGTCCCTATCAGAGGTGTGGTGGATGATCATCTCCATGATTTCCCTTAGCCATCCTTACTGCATCTCATCTCATCTCATGACTTAAACCTCTGGTTCAGCTCACCTCAGCTTATCCATGGGGCTTCAATCTCTGGTTCACATAATTAGGAGCTATGAAGTGGACAAACATTTGACTTCTTCATCAAGTTGAGATATCAAATCAGCCCATTTTGCCATCCATGACAAGAAAACTATAGGAATAAAAGCTTTTACCCCAAAGGTCACATACGAAATCCTTCATTGAGATGGGAGATCAAATGGCTACATCTCATGCAAAGCTTTCTCTTAAGTACACACACTACATACATACTCATCCTTACTGTTTGGATTCTACCATTTGTTTCCAGCTTCAAAAGGTTGTACGTGTCACAAATCAGACAATTTTGTCAATGGTCTTTTTGACTGCCATTACTATAACTTAGTTGACCATGACGCAACACTTTTTAGAGAGAGAGAGAGAGAGAGAGAGAGAGAGAGAGCAACTGAGCACACTTTGTCTATGCTTGCAGGTCATGGGGAAGAGGCAAGAAGATGCCGGAAGGAGTGGGGAAAGCAAGGAATCAATGAGGGGTCACTTCACGGAAAGTGGAGCACGCACTCCCTCTCTTTTGTTTGTCTTCATCCCAGCGAAGAAAAAGGGGGAGTAAGAAGAGGAGTGAGACCAACACTTTTAAAAGTCTACAGTAAGCAAAGATACAACAATTTTAGCAATCATTCATGTATGATTTGTCCATATATATATATATATATGTTTATAAGGCTAAAACTTTAGGCTGATGTAACTCAAAAACATAGCTTGTGCAAACATTGTCCTCATCCTCTGAAATATTATTATCTGCACATAGAAACAGCACCCATGAATGATGGTGAGATACTTGCCATCACAAGAATCTAGTTTCTGAAGCCAAGTAGTGAAGGAATATGCCAATGAAGTCTTATATTACAAGACAAAGTTATTGCAATGTTTCAGATGTTCAATTCACTATAAAGCAGGACATGCCACATGCATGAGGATGAACAAAATCTGGCCTTTTGCACTTCATAAAAGTGGAAGAAGCTTTAATTCCCTTTAGCAATTTGAGGCAATGAAATTTCATGTCAGCCTTAGATATATATGCTTTTGAGGAGATGAACACAGTCTTCATTCCTTTCTTGTGCTTTTGCCCCAATCTTTATCCTTCTCTCCATGTCTTCTTTCTCTCACTCTCTTTCTTTCTTTCTTTCTTTTCTTGCTCCATCTCTTTTGGACTCAAATCTTGACTTAGTGTGGCCTGCCCAACATGAACTCAAGATTGGGTCTGCCTGGGCTTGCTGTCTCTGAAAACCATGATGAGTTCAAACCACAATGCATTTCCAAGCTCTTAGATTGCATGTCCTGCAGAAGAAAGCAGGAACAATGCATCAATCAACTCCACATGATATCTATTTTTTTTTGTCAGTATGCAGTGTTTGCTACTTATCAGGAGATGCTTAATGATTCAAGTATACAATGTGAATGGAAGATCTGAATTGATACCTTAAGGGACTTAGTACTTCCTCTTGTAGCTTCATTTGCTAAGCCATTAGAGTAGCCTTCCCTGCTGCAGACCACAAAAAAGTCTCTACTCATAATACAGTCCAAGCACTAAAATAGTGTGTCATAGAAAGAAGTCCATTGCATCAAATCAGTAATGTACTAAAAGTAATCTTTATGCTACAATTAGCTTCAAAGAGCTTCCATTGGAATTGCAGAGAGTTAGCCCTACTTTTTCTGAGCACTTTGCATGAATTGTAAGGTGAGATGGAAAAGAAGTAAAATGAAAGAGAGCTTCTACTGAAAAGTCCATAAAACTGACTGCTTCTAGGAAGTTGCAGCCATCAAGTGGCAGAAACCTTCTTAGCCCTGTCAATGGTTTTCCTTGAGAGCCATATAAATGACTCAGCTACTCCATCCTTCTCAAGACATGAAGAAGAATCCAAAGTCTCTGGGTTTTTCATTGCAGCAAACCTAAAAAACTGTTCCTCACTGAACTACTCAACCAATGATTTACAGTTTTCAGCTTCCCTATATGGATGCTGGAGCTCAATATTAGAAACAGTCACTCAGTTAATGCTACTTCTCTCTTCCATCTTTAATCATGCAGGTTAGAGTTCCAATCTTGGAATCTGCACCACATGACCTACCAGCAAGCAGACAACTCTCACAAGTGTCTCTTTTTACACATCTAAGATCTTTTGAATTGAAATGGATGGTGCCTACAGGCCTGTTTTACACTTCAAAGAAGATCTCAGCATTTTTAGTTCTCTCTCAGCTTTAACAACTCATGTGATTTATTGCTTTGTGGAGTTATAGATGACACACCAGCATTACTGAAAGATGAACTCCAATATCTGCAGATTCTATTCTTTGACCAAGTTAGAACTAATTGGAATTGCATTGTTCTAGAGTTCAGAAATCAGAATCATTAATTAGAGCCATTTTAAAGACCTGTATGACCTTGTGTTACTTATAGTTTGAAGAAAAAAAAAATGGTTGGATTCATGACACTTGCTCTATGAAATCAATTGACACTCTCTGTTAAGGATATGCAGCTGTTCATTTTACACTCTCTCCTATTCCTCAAAGACTTTATGGATTCCTACATATGATATTTTCCTTTTCAGAAAAAAGAACTCAATCCAACAAAAGAATATTTCTTAGAAACCTACTTGAATAACCAAGAAAATATAATGCAGCAGCCACTTATGTACTAAAAAGAATTAAAATTCAAATAAAATTGCCTAATTTTAATTCAATCTGTTTGTCTTGATCACAAGGCTGACATTATGATGAAGTATCTCCAAATAGATCAAACAAAATTACTAGTATTCGTCGAATAACTGTTCTGTAGGAAGAAATTTTCACCTGGAAGAACTGTTCCATAAACCAATTTGATTGATTTCATGATGAGTTGAAAATTCTGAAGTATGGAGATCATGAATTTTGAGCAATCTTTCATCAGAAATTTCTGCAGACCACTCATTCTGAAAACCATCGGATCGACCTATAGGACAAAGATAATAAATGAAACCATTATTTAACGAGCAATATTAGTCTTTAAAACATATTGGAATCATTTGAACAAGGTTCTATGTAACATGCCAGAACAAAGTCAAGGTTACCTGAAGCAACTGTTGGTCTCTGAGTGTTCTTCACTGTCCTATACATCTGCAGACACACATCATGATCTTCAACATAATTAGCAAGAACAAAACATGTCATTCATCTTGGTTTTGTTTCCTACTACAACATTTTATCGGTTTAGTCTAAGCTACACAATCTTATTTCTATATTTAGAGAAATTATTTTCGAGACTCGGATTCTAACACTCACAAGTTAGAAATGAGCAATCTCATCATTCTCATCATTGCACTAAGGTCCGTCATCGAACCCAAATCTCTTAGAATGAATACCTTAGATTAGCTTTTTTAACCAACTCAAGTATCTTTACATCTTTGAATGATTTGCTCACAAACAAAGATGTTATATTGTTAAATGGTGGCTCAGTAGAACACCTGAGTTCCTATATCACAAACTGTAACACAGCATAGAATTAAGTAAAATAGAAGTATAAGATGCTCATACTAGAGATTTTTGATTTTATGTATCAGATAATTAAGTCTGGTGGAAAGGTTGATGAACAATTGGGTGCTAAACATAACACTGTTTTTTGACAGTACTAATATCAATGTTGTTTGTCAGTACTAATAGTAGGACTCTTCCATACTTGTTGCCAAATCAAGGACAAAAAGAAAGTGTTGTCTATTAAGATGAGATATTTCACAAGCATAAGCCCCACAAGGACTTTGAGGTCTACAATTTGCATAGTCACAGTATGATTAGCATGCTGCAAGAATTAGGTATGTATCATTGCAGCTGATATCTGTTTTAGATCACAAGAATCATAATCTGGCCATTTATGCATGCTCTTTGAGCTGAATTTATTTATTTTTGATCAAATGTTTTTGCAATAAAATACTATAAAGGACATATAATTTCATGAACTCCTTGTCTCTCTTTAGTTCTTTCTGAGCTCTAATGATGCAATTCTCTTGCATTTAGTTGTTAGATTCTTAGCTGCCTTTGGTCATCAAGCTGTCTTTAGTTCACCATTAATTTTCTGATCTAACATTCATGAACTTTGAACTTGTCAGTCTAAAAAATTTCTGTTGTGAAACATCCAGAAATATTTGGAGAATCAACAAAAGCTGATCTTACTTTCTACCCAATTTTTGAATTAGATTTTTGCCCTATATATCAACTGCTTATATCTTTAGGTAAATTCTAAGTAATTTATCTCTTTGACTGCTATTAGCTTTATGTAACAATGTTAGTAGTTGTGTTTGTTTAAGAGATATGGCTTTAGCCATTCACATAAATATCTATTTGTCATAATAACATTGTTCATATGAATATTCATATTTATGATATTTTTTGTTTTGTTTTATAGACCAATGAGCAGACATGATATTAATCAGCTCCTCTTCCTCAAGCTATGATCTGTGTGCCATTCAGACAGTGATAAGCAATTGATGCACTCCCTAAACTTGCATACACACAGTGGTATGAAGTGCAGCAATTGCTTATTGCTGCAATCAAAATTTCAAGCACACAAATACTGATCACAAAACTATAGTATAATAAGAGCATTACTATGGTCAATAAATTGTCTAATATAAAATTCAATTACTCTGGTTTTATATTTCAGCAGTAGCTATGCATATAAATTCCACCATAGGAAATTATTAATATGGTTTTGTAGTTGCATTAACAGAAACTATCATATTATGGTTTCAACAACAGTGGATCAGAAGACTGCATCTTTGTAATGGTGGATCAAAGGACTACAAAAGAAGAAAAAGAAAAAGAAATCCACTGCCTACTCATTAAACACTTGCTACTTCATTCAGCCACTCATTGTTCTTTGTTTTCCTTCATACATCAAAACAATTTGTTAGAATGAGTTCAGAACTATCATTTTCTTTTAGTACCAAGTTTGCACTAGAGATGCAAACATGACATGATACTTGCACTATATATGTCTAAACATATAGATCGACAATATATAGGACACATCATGAAGTTTGTGGAAACAAAGGAAGTGTGTAGGTCTCTTTGTTCCAATAGAACTCACATTCTTTGATCAACAGCAGGCAGAGAAAACAAAACAGCAGGAATAATACGACCAAAGAAAACTGAAACAAAGCTGAAAGATGTTGAAAGAAAAAGCTGAGACCGCACTCAACCTACGGGCAAAGGAAACAGTAGAATATATTCCTCTGAAGTGCAACATCAAACACCCATTTTTGAGGCTTGAAGAAATGGAGAGATCCTTTACCTGTAAGTGAGATTTCACGTGAGCCAGTGTCAGATCTTTTACATCCATCAACTCCAGAACGGACTTTGGTGTAGCCCCTAAACACCAGAAGATCACGTTGGGAATAAAGGTAAGATCACTACATCCATCTGAATTGAGATAAGAGGATGAGAAGCTATAGATGATACTTTCATGCCCTCCCAAGAGCTCCACAGCATGCACAAAGCAGCCGTGAAGGGTGGTCGTCCACCGCATCCTTGGAGCTCGCATTCTTCTTTTTATGGGGATCCTTGATGGTGAGTTACTCGATCTCGACAAGCTTTGTGTCGGTGCAGAGCGATCGAAATCAGTGGAAGAAGAAGACTCATACAGATGCTGCTGCTGCTGATGGTGATGGTGATGGTGATGATGGTCTGGTGGCAGTAGAGGAAAGGAAGGTGGCTGCTGGTAGACAGGAACCCCCCTTATGGGCTTCAGCAAGCCAGGGTCTCGGTGGTGCACTTCATGCAGGGGGTCATGGTGGTGGTAGTGGCGGGGTTGTGGATGAAGTAGGAGAGTGTTTTGGCCTGTGGTGGTGGAGTCTGTGGCACTGCGGCCTTCTGAAGGGCTCTCGAAGGTCAAGGGTGTGTTCATGTTGCTCTCAGAGGTCATAAACCCTAATTCCGTATCTCCGTCTTGCTTTCTCCAGTCTGATATCGGCTTGGTGTTTGGGGGGCTTATTCGAAGAGATAGATCAGGCTGTGAAGGAAAAATATCCATCTCTTAGTCAAACTTCAGATCTGAACTTGCTCTAGCTCTTCTTTATCTGCTCGAGATCTTATCCTCCTCTTTCTTGGGTTAATCTTATGAAGGAGATAGCTGTGCCTTTGGTGGTATGAGGGGGATGCGGTTATGGTTTCAGGTCGCAGGTTCTCTTCTGGGAAATGATCATAGGGTTGTAGTAGCAAAATGTATGAGGTAAAGAAGATGCATGCAGTGTTAACATGGAGGGTGAAACTTATGGATGCAGATGAGTTCAGTGTGAAGAGACAAAGTGTGAGAGAATAACACTTAGCTTGATGGCCACATGAAAGAGAGAGAGAGAGAGAGAGAGAGAGAGAGAGAGAGAGCTTCTGCTCAGATTCCCCTTGTTGTCTGTGTGCTTTCACTTTGTGCAGAGATGATATCTGACTTACAAGTTCTGAACTTTCTGTGTGTTTCTCCAACCAATCATGCTAACCCAAAGAAATGAACACAAGCATAGTTGTCTGTGTTGGTGGTAGCCACTCCATGTAAAGGTTTCTTGTGCTGCATTAGGTTTTGGATAAGAACACTTCAGTCAGGAGTTTTCTCTGAATCCAATTCTCTGTTTCTAAAACACACTAACTGTAGATTACTGGAATTTTCTTCAACCTATTCTCTAATTTTCTGCTAAATGAAGGCTTATTTCCAACTACATGAGAAATACTTTTCATTTGCTCCTTATCATCATCTTCAAGACTGTAAACTACACCATGTTCTTCCTCCTTATTTTAGCTTCCTCTCATAAAGACATATTTTGATAACTGTTCTAAAGTGTGACAATGATGCATCTAACTCTAATAAATTTGAAGGATAATTCATAAAAATAACAGGTCAAATATATACTTGCAGACAACTTGCTCTTAGGGCACATGTTAAGCATTTTTCCCACTGTATATTGAAATCAATCTCCTGATATATTGTTGCAAAAAGGAGAATCTTAATTTACTGTCTCCTCTCAACCACTACCTTACTTGTTCTTCTTATAGGGCCTATAAATCAAATGCTAAATGCTATGACCTGTTAAGCATCATGACAAGTTCCTGATTGCATGAATGAGCAGAAGCCATGTCCCTGAGTAGTAGGATAAAAGATCTACTCTCCAATCCCAAACTTAACATCATATGATTAGCAAGATGCACAGCAAGAACCAACCAAAAGAGTTCTTGTGATCATGGCAGCCATCATGAACAAGAAATTTACTTGTGAGGACCTTCTCATCAAGATTCATTTCTTTTACAGTTGATGGTTTTCTGCAATGGGTAATAAGAGGACATCAAATTTGTACAACCTCTTTCCTGGAGACACTGCAGATGAACCACTCTTCTTTGAATGATCGAGATAATGAGGAAGGTTGACTTTGGAACCTTGTGTTTGTTGTTGTTTCTGCTTCTTAATGATGCAATTCTGATGCCATCTTTCATAGTAAACACAAAAGGAAGTCATTCCAGAAGAGTGAGAAACAAGAAGTAAACAAAGGTTTCTGAATCCAAACTACACTTCCAAAACCATACATATCGAGATTCCACAATATGATAGATGTGGGACAGCAACTGTTCCACAGAAAATTTTGCTGAGGAGAATTAAAAGAGCATAGTTTCATATCTAAAGGATCTTTTGACTCCTTATATGCATATATATATATATACACACACACACACTGCAACATCACATGACTTCTTCTTTGTTGTGATATGCTCAATAGGAACTTAGATTCCAACACAGTGACATGTCCCCAAAGCTTGCGATATGGGAATCCCAATGGAGAAAAGACTCTGCACGGTGATAAGAAGAAGCTATAGCTTCATTTGACAGAACATTGGAAACCATCACATGTATACGTGCTTGTGATGTTGTCTGACTGTTTAATCAAATGGGATCCTCTCGAGACACAGACAAGAAACACGAAGTGATGTTTTGTTCTTTTGCTGATCAGATTCATGAGACGTGTTTTGAGAAGAAGGCATTCAAATGCAAGATTGATACTCCTTCTTCTTCATGTTAAGCCTCCTTCTATGAGGCTTACGTACAGAATAGAATCCCATGCAACCAATGACCATCTGTTCTTCTTCTTTTCAGCTCCATTTTCGTCAACCTATTTGATGACTTCGCAAGCATTGTGATCCGAACGATCTCCCATATTAGCATGGAGATGCTTTTGCTTCCATTACGTTAGCCATTTTAGTATCCTAAGGTTCCAAGTTGACATGAGAGTGTAGAGGGCTCCGAGGTTCGATCGACCCAAGCTTGATGGAATTGGACGGGCAAGACGGCTTCGTTGGCCACAGTCAGACCATACGGTCAAACTGTACCCAAAAGAAACGCGTTGTTGACGTGCCCCGACACGGTCCCCCGTCACGACCGTGCGTCTCTATCGGACGGCCACTGCAACGGTCGCATAGAGATTGAATGTGAGATCCACCGTGCAAAGGATGGCCATCGACGGGTATGAGCTCCTTTGTGAAAGCGGATCCTCTACAGACCTTTCTTTAATCGATCGTGTACATGTCCATACCAGAACCGTTCATTAGGACCCGCTCCACTCGCCGTTGGTTGTTGTGACCAACCGTTGAAATCGGTAGTTGGAGCGGATCCCACCGATTCTTGTTGACCCCGCCGCCCGTGAAGTAAACCCCCACCCTCGATTCCTTAGCAGCTGGAGGTCTTCTTTTCGCGGCTACCTCCCTGCAGATCTCGTCGCTAGCGTCAGCAGTAGGAGCTCCGATGTCGGTGAGTGCTGCTTGGTTCTCTTGAATCTTGATTTCTATGTTCCGTGCTTAGATCGCTTTTATTGAGGTTTGCTTTTAGGGATTTATGTGTTGAGATGATTCAGAGAATTGGAAATAATGAGACTGTCTTGATATCATTAATTGACGTTCTGAATCTACAACTTCTGCAAGAGAGAAGGAGAAAAGAGGAGGTGTCGTTTTTGTGGACTGGATGTTTGTTTGAGTTATGTCAAAGTTTGATCTTTTATACCTAATATTCAAGTTTCATTGCCTAAGTGGATCAGAAAAGTCCTCTGTGTTTTTAGATGAAGCCTCCAACAATTATGTTGGGCTTTCAAAAAACAACAAATCAAAAGATGAGATTTTCTGATCCGCCATGTCACTAAGCATCAAAAACCCATGAGATCTACAATATGTAGTCCCCTCTTTATTTGTTTTAGCAATTTTCTCTACCTAATCAGACATATTACCTGTTGTAATTAAGGGAAGAGGACAGTTTACTGGAATGGCTTTTAAACATTTCCAAAACTAGCCCAGCAACAATGTTGTCTCCCAACATACCAAAACTGGTTGTTACTCCGGTGGCAGGGGAAGCAAGTCTAAGTATAAAAACCTGATTGAGTTTAGGGATAATCAGGCTCGAACTGATGACTTCCATATCAAGGTGACATGTATTTTACATATTCATATGGTTGAGTCCTTAGATTTCCGAAATAGTGTAATGCTTAAGGAAGTGCTTCGGATCATTACTATTTCCTTAATGCTAGAACTAATCATTCAATCTATTTGTTTATTTGTTTTATCAATTTTCTTTGCCTAATCAGATATGTTCGCTCTTGTAACTAACGGAAGAGGTGTTTGCTTTAACTTTTTGAAAAGGAGTTGATTCTATTAAATGTACCAGGCTTAAAATATGAGAATATTCAGCAGATAGATTATTATGCCAAAAAATGTTCTCTTGTGCAGTCTGCCAAGCTAGGCAGACTATCTGCAGCATCATTGACTCTCAAATCGACAATGATATGTGAATATTCATATTGTTGATAAGCAACTCAAACTATGGTCTTTCTCAAAACTTATGAAATTGTTTTGTGGAGAAACTTTGTTCATAGATCTCAAAAGGTGTTGTAATCAAGGACTGCAATTTCGTGCCAGCCGGCCTGCCGTGTTGGTCTTTGGCTGGTCCAGTACGGCATACTGACACATGGTACGTCGGACCATGCCGACAATTCCAAAAAATGTCAAGAAAATCTCCGAAAATATATGAAAATTAGGTTAAAAAACCTAAATTAGGATATTTTAATTAGAACTAAATGCAAATTTAGTTCTATTTTAGTAAAATATCTAAATAAGGAATGGATAGTGGATTTATCTTTTCTGAACATTGATGGGCAACTTTGCGGCACGTTTCAAACGGTTCTTCCATTGATATTGAACAAGAGTGAGAATATGTGAGAAAAAGAGAGTGATTGAGTGAGAAAGAGAGTTAGAAGATATGAGATTGAAATAGGGTGAAAGAGAGGGGAGGAATGGGGTTAAATAGGTATTCAAATGGGTCCAACGATCAAATTGACTGTTGGAACCAATTCAATCTAGGCTTTTGTTTGATTTCGGTCGAAATCCGACCATTACTAATCGATATAGGTTGGTAACAGACAAATTTCAACCATTTTGGACTATGTAGTAATTTCCTGTTCATGTTGACATATGATAAATGGATAATGAAGTAACAACATTTATTCACTTTATATACATCCAACTATAAGCTTGTTGATTGAGAATTAACAAAAAATTGAGGGCATAAAATCTAAGTCATGGTATGAGCATGTGCTAAGGAGGCATGTAGATATTGTAGTTCGAAGAGTGGCAGCATAGTACGAGGAAAGATAGAGGAAGACCTAAAAAGATCTTATAGAAACTATAAATAGAGATTTAAATACCCTTTAACTAAATATGACTTTTTACATAGCTTAATAATGATAAAATAACCATATAGCCGACCTCAAATGCTTAGGGTATCATTGCTTTGTTATTGTTGTTGAACATGATAAGTTAAATTGCAAGTCAAAGGTCCTTCCTTTGTGCCCTTCTTATTGCATAATATGATTAATCTTCTGGTACTCTAGATACAGAGTGTATTTCCTGTGCTTTAACCAGATTATGTACCATGCTTAAAATCTATAAGAAATCTAGTATTGTTCTTTTTTTGTTGTTTTCATTTATTTGATGAAAATTTTCTGATACCAGTTAGTGTATGCATTGCAGGTAAGGACAGTGAAAGTCAGCAATGTTTCTCTGAGTGCATCATTGCATGATATTAAAGAGTTCTTCTCCTTTTCTGGGGACATCGAATATGTTGAGATGCAAAGGTTCATGTTGATAATGATCATATTTCTTTTATGTTGACTTTTTGGTACTTGGACAATCTTAGCTCACCATCAATTTTCAACAGTGCGGATGAATGGTCTCAAATTGCTTATGTTACCTTCAAAGATTCACAGGGAGCAGAAACAGCTCTTCTTCTCTCAGTAAACTTTCTTAAGATCTTTATTTTCTTTCTTGAGATCGTTACTGCCTTTTCAGTTAATTCATATCAAAGAATTTATATTCTTGATCCATATCATACATAATTTATGCATATATATTACGTTGGGTTCCTGAGATTTTTGTTTTCTATTGTTGCATGCACATCTTCTTCTCTTTTTGCTTTGCTGTCCATATCACATGTCCACCATCAGATGCTAAATTATCTCAAGTATTAAGAGATATGGTTGTTTATGTAAACTAGGTCTGGATAGTAAGTGATTACATGTGATATAGAAGGAGATTCTGTTTTTTTTTTTTTTTTTTTTGTCTGTAAACTATTGCAAATATAATTAGCCATCTATTATCTAAAAAATGTTTCAAAAAAGAGTAATTTTTCATTTCAAAGTTGTACTGCGTTTTGTAGAACCAACAAAGGGACCTTGGTTTGTGTTTCTGTTATTGGTTATAAATCTTCTTCTCTCAGATGTCATTTGTTCATTGTACAGGGGGCAACAATAGTTGATCTCTCTGTCATTGTTACACCTGCTCCAGAATACCAATTACCTGTAACTGTTTCAGCTCCTACTGTGGTAGAGTGCATGACACATGCCTTCTCTTGAACCATTATTCCATCATTCTTTTTTTTTACTGTGTGATGAAGCTTGTTTGTTTCTTAGAATAAAGAGGTCAAAGTGACTGGTGGTGGTGAATCTGCTTCTCATAAAGCAGAAGATGTTGTCACCAGTATGCTCGCCAAGGGCTTTATTCTAGGCAAAGATGCTATCGGCAAAGCAAAAGCTTTCGATGAGAAGCACCAACTCACATCCACAGCTAGTGCCAAGGTTTCATCATTCGACAAAAAAATTGGCCTGACTGAGAAGATCAGCATGGGTACTTCAGCTGTCAATGAAAAGGTCAAGGAAATGGATCAGAAGTTCCAGGTCTCCGAGAAGACTAAGTCAGCCTTTGCTGCAGCTGAGCAGAAAGTAAGTGTTGCAGGATCTGCAATCATGAAGAACAGGTATGTCTTCACCGGAGCATCCTGGGTAACTGGTGCATTCAACAAAGTTGCCAAGGCTGCAAGTGATGTGGGATCGAAGACGAAAGAGAAAGTTGCTGCTGAACAGGAACACAGAATATAATTGATACACGCCTTGATAGTATCTTTGAGACTTTTTAAAGGGTTGTAGCAGTAGAGCATCCTGCCTGCCCAGCATCCACCTGTTCAAGTATCAATTCCTTGATCTCGTTACATTTTCTACAGAACGGAGTCTTGCCTTTGAAGAAGATAAGCCAATTTTATTCCATGTTGTGATGCATATTGAACAAAATAGTCCTATACCTTGTGTTTTGATACATTGTTTCTGAGCATATCTGTAAGGATTTTGTGCCTACACACTGGTGTCCAAACAATGTTGCTGAATGATACCAAATAAACCCATAGAGTTCATTGGTATGTCCAAGCATGATGTTTTTCTCTACAATACCATATATTTCTGCTGTCTACTGAAAAAAAATAGCTCTTGTTGTCACTAAGAACATTCTGCCAATTACAAATCAATTGGACAAGAAATAGTCAGTAATTATCCCTATCCTTGCCAATATTTTTTTTTGGAATTTTGAGATCATTCTGGGAAGAACATCAGTTCATATAGTTGGACAGCAGTGTATGTATGATATGACTTGCTGATATAAAATTAGAATATTAAGTATTTTACCTCCCAAGAACATTTGATAGTTTCTGTTCTCTACTTACTCAACTTTTCATTGCATTAATTATTATCAATTGAGGCTTCGAGTGACATGAATGATTAATCTGTCATTTCATGGAGGTCATAAAATTATGGGATATGCCAATATGGTTTAGGATTTAAAGTATTAATATGTAGAAGTAAGTAATGATATTTTGAGATTCACATGCAATTTTCATATAACTAGCCAAATTGTGTGATTGTAATTTTGTTGGTCAGAAGAAAACATGTCTAGGAGAGAAAAATATTATTTTCTCAGATTGTACTAAATTATGATATTTTGAGAAGAAAATAACTTAATTCAAATAAATTATTAGATAAAGAATGTTGAGAACAAAAATTAATAATTTGATGAGGAAATCAAAAGGAATTTACTAGCATTAATGATCAATAGATTTGGCTTACAAAAGGCTACATAAAAGAGAGATTTATTAATGAATAATAAACCATGAATATATTAATATATCATACTTATAAAAAAAACCATTTATTTGGTTTCTCTTGATATAAGATAAACTTATAAAAAAAGAATATTAGTCTGATGGTGGTGATATACTTAATCTACTTACAAAAAATTGGGAGTTTGAAATTTTGAAGATATTAACTAGTTTAACCGATAAAAACTTTGACAGATTATCGATCGTAAACTTGAATATCATCTTCGTCACTTATTCTATAACAAAATTATTTTAATTAAATTAATTTTTAAAATAATAAAAAAATAAATAATTTATTAACTTATGCTTAACATTAAATTTTTTTTTTTGAATTACTAGAGAGAGAGAGAGAGAGAGAGAGAGAGAGAGAGAGAGAGAACTAACAGTAGAGATAAAATGAATAGTAAGACATGGAATGCTTCTCACAAAAGGCATTCTTTCTAAAATCTAATCTTTTTCTAATTTTGTTAATTATATGCATATATATATATATGTAATTTTTTTTATTTTTTCTTAAGAATAATTATCATTAAATCGATTTGCCTATGTAAAGCAGCTCACTCGAGCACATATAGTGTTACATATAACATCAATATTATAATGGAAATTAGAAACTGTGTTCGGACACCGATCGGATACGGGTACGGGTACGGTTTTACCCAAATCCGTATCCGCTCCTAACTATATAACATCGCCTTCACATCGCCGCCTCCCACTCTCCTTCGTTTGAGTCGCACAACGCACTCCGTGCCCGTGCTTCGTCTCCCCTTCCTCCGGTCGCCCACCCTCCTCACCGTCCCAGCCTTTGCGCCCGCCGCCATCGGTCACTGGTTCGCTGCCGGTGAGTCCTCTTTCTTCTTATCCCTTTTCTCCTCCTCTCACCTTCGTCGATTTTAAGAACCCTAGGAGAGAGATCGCCAAAGATCCAACTCAATCCCTAGAGCTCCAAGACCGCTAGCAGGAATCCAAGATACATCCAGTCCCAGGAGAGAGATCCTCCCTTCTATTTCCGATTGGAAGAACTCTAGACGAACCCTAGGCTACGAGGAGGAAGAAGGGGGAAACTAAACAGCCGGCAAGATGAGGATTATGATAAAGGGTGGTGTGTGGAAGAACACCGAAGATGAGATCCTCAAAGCGGCGGTCATGAAGTATGGGAAGAACCAGTGGGCTAGGATATCTTCCCTTCTTGTCCGCAAGTCCGCCAAGCAATGCAAGGCCAGATGGTATGAGTGGCTTGACCCATCGATCAAGAAGGTATTTCTTTTGCTTCTTCTTCAGTTGTTTAAATTGATTTCGTTTTATTGAATATATAACATATTTTGATGATCGGTCGGAACACTAGCAAGCAGTAAAAGTTTGGTTTTATATTGGATATTATTCACATGGGTGGAGCGTTTAAATGTTGGAATGGTTAGTTTTGGTTGCATATAAGATGAGAGTCGACGTTCTCTGTGGTTCTAATGATTGGAGCAAAATTTCATCATGATTTGTTTTAAGAAGCACATGAGCAAGATTTCATCATAATTTATTTAAGAAGCACATGATTTATGTTGAATTTTCCATCTTCAACCTTGAAAGAACTCATCTTCTTAATGTTGTGATTTGCTGAGTCATCCATAGTTTAAGGGTCATGATTATGTTTTTTTCCTACAACTTTTTGGTTTTGCATGTTTCTGATTTATTTTAAAAAGTTGCAGAAAATACTATTCTTTCTTGTACTACAGTTTAGATCCATGTCTGCTGTATTCATTTTATTTCTTTTCACTTCCTTCCGTTTCAGAAAATATACGTTGCACTCATATGAACTGTAGCTTAAGATAATACGAAAGATTAAAATTTTTGGTGGAATTAGCTTTTTATTGATGATTCATTTTTGTATTTATTCTTTGACTTATAGATTTTAATGCTTATTTAGTTATTCTTTTGTATTTCTGACATAAATAACTAACAATTGAACTTATGTTTGATCTACCAGACAGAGTGGACAAGGGAAGAAGATGAGAAATTGCTTCATCTCGCCAAGCTTATGCCCACTCAGTGGAGAACAATTGCCCCAATTGTGGGTCGAACACCATCCCAGTGTCTTGAACGCTATGAAAAGCTGCTTGATGCTGCATGTGCAAAAGATGAGAACTATGAACCGGGTGATGACCCCCGAAAGTTGCGCCCAGGAGAGATTGATCCCAATCCTGAATCTAAACCTGCACGTCCTGATCCTGTGGATATGGATGAGGATGAAAAGGAAATGCTTTCAGAAGCACGTGCTCGGTTAGCTAACACTAGAGGCAAGAAGGCAAAAAGAAAGGCAAGGGAGAAACAGCTTGAAGAGGCAAGGAGGCTTGCATCTTTGCAGAAGCGAAGAGAATTGAAAGCAGCTGGAATTGACACAAGGCATAGGAAGAGGAAGAGGAAAGGAATTGATTATAATGCAGAAATACCCTTTGAGAAGAGACCTCCCCAAGGATTCTTTGATGTTTCAGGAGAAGAGAGACCCGTGGAACAACCTAAGTTTCCAACAACAATTGAGGAACTTGAAGGGAAAAGGAGGGCTGACATTGAAGCACAATTAAGGAAGCAAGACGTTGCAAGAAACAAGATTGCACAAAGACAAGATGCCCCTTCTGCAATATTGCAAGTTAACAAACTTAATGATCCAGAAGCAGTCAGGAAGAGGTCCAAACTAATGCTGCCAGCGCCTCAGATTTCAGATCAGGAGTTGGAGGAGATTGCAAAAATGGGTTATGCAAGTGATCTTGTTTTAGCCAATGAGGAGCTTGATGAAGGTAGTGGTGCCACACATGCTCTCCTTGCAAATTATTCTCAGACTCCAAGACCGGGAATTACTCCCTTGCGAACCCCACAGAGAACTCCAGGTGGAAAAGGTGATGCAATTATGATGGAGGCTGAAAATCTTGCACGGTTGAGAGAATCTCAGACGCCTCTTTTTGGTGGGGAGAATCCAGAGTTACACCCTTCAGATTTCTCTGGAGTCACACCAAGGAAAAGGGAAATTCAAACTCCGAATCCCATGGCAACTCCTTCGGCTACTCCTGGACCGGGTCTTACCCCCAGGATTGGCATGACACCTTCCAGAGATGGATATTCTTTTGGTATAACACCAAAGGGGACTCCTTTCAGGGATGAACTTCACATAAATGAAGATATTGAAATGCAGGATACTGCAAAGATGGAGCTGCATCGGCAGGCTGAGCTGAAAAGAAACTTGCGTTTTGGCTTAAACAATCTTCCACAACCTAAGAATGAGTATCAGATAGTTATCCAACCCATTCCTGAGGAGCATGAAGAATCTGAGGAGAAGGTCGAAGAGGATATGTCCGACAGATTAGCCAGGGAGAAGGCACAAGAACAAGCAAGGCAGGAGGCCTTGCTAAGGAAGCGATCCAAAGTGCTTCAGAGAGAGCTTCCTAGACCTCCTACTGCCTCACTGGAGATTATCAAGAAGATGCTGATGAGGGGTGATGAAGATAGAAGCTCGTTTGTTCCCCCTACTCCATTTGAGCAGGCTGATGAAATGATAAATAGGGAACTTCTTGTATTGCTAGAACATGACAATGCTAAGTATCCAATTGATGAGAAAACAGACGAGAAGAAAAAGAAAGGGACCAAGCATTTGGCAAATGGTAAATCTTCTGCAATACCTGAACTTGAAGATTTGGAAGAAGATCAGCTGAAGGAGGTATGTTGCTGCTTTTAGTCTTCTGTTTTTGATTTTGCTGAAATTCATTTATTTGTATTTAGTCACTAGGCCATTTGTATTTTGTAGGTTGTTGTTCCTTTTAATTTTATTTTTTTGGGATATCTGGTTCAAGATTATGTGTCACCTTCTTGGTCACTTTGATAATTAGCATGCTGAGGACCAAGGATTTGGAACTCGGTCTAATGTCGGTTTCAGTAATCTGCCAGACTGGTATGGTATTGATAGTCAAGATGGATACCAACCTGTACCACTGGTATACCAATATTGCACCATCCAATATCACCTTCAAAAAAATGGTCTGGACCACGTGGTTTGTTACTGATCCTTGGTCGTACTGATAAATATTGCTTGGTATGGTGCGTACTGACTGATATCTGAAACCATGCTATGTAGATTGTTGAACATCACCTTCTTAGTTTAGTTAAGTAATTTGGTCATTTTGATTACTAAGTTGTTAATGATCTTGTGGTTTGTGCTCCACAATTCTTAAAAGAGGTTTTGGGGGCAGAGTACTCTTCTCTCTTTGTTATGCTGTTTCTTTTAGGCTCGTT